TATATATATATATATATATATATATATATATATATATATATATAACATACATATATAAAACCAAAGTGATTATGCTCACATTCCCTATATACAAAGCAGTCTAGAAACAGGAATTCTCTCCTATTCTCAAAGTAATAAAGAAAAATAATATAGTGCAAGGATTCACCCCCTTTCTCTACTCTGCCTATCATGATTTTTGCCTTGGATTCTTTCATACGTACCTAATGTGCTAGAGTGGTTTCAAGCAGATGACTGCACTACGCAGTGCTTAAAAGGGGGTTCAAAGATCAATAGCTTCTGAGCCACTTATTTAATCAGAGAAGGCCTTATAACCTGATAGCAAAGTATTTGCTATGAAGCTGGAGCCTTAATCACTAAAATCTTTCCAGTAGGAGTAATGTCAGGCTTCTTGTGAATTTGGAGAGCTAAATTTGAAACTTCTTGACATGCTGATGGCCCAGACACTCCAGTTTCTGGGCAGGGCAATTTTTAAAATTTAATCCATCAGCAAAAATCAGATATTGTTGAATCCTGGCACTGATTTTGAAGCAAGGCTACTCACTTAAAAAGGGGTTTATACATTTTCATGACTGAATGGGCATTGGCAAAGGTGCTGCTGAGACTCTCTACCTGGATCGAAGGACCATATATAAATAAGCTTTGCAACCAGGATTTTGTTGGTGCTAGACTGCCCTTCTCACCACTGTGGGATTCTACGGACACATTTTAAATCTATGTTCCATAAATGGACAAATCCGTGGTGCCAATTACCCTATGAATCCTTTCTGACCGACTCGCCTCATCTCTTTTAGTGAGCAACAGAATACAGAGAAACACACACCAGTGGCTAGAAGGATGTCACAGTCTCTCTTTCAAATGGCAATCAAGGTACAATACAGCTTGCAATGTGACATGACCTGAAGAGCAGACCCCCAAGAGAAGGCATGGTGGGGACAAGGCAATGGACCACAGCTCGGATGCCTGGCTGTCAATCAGGATACAAAAGAAAGCCAGAGAAAGTGCTGTATTTATTGTTGTTTCCTCCATGGGCTTTGCCTCCATCCAATTTGACATAGACTTCGTCTCCCGAGTCCAGGTGGAGCACTACACTGTTGCTGGCATAGTCGTAATTCTGGTCAGCATCCTGAGCAATGGCGCTGGCTCGCACCTGCAAAGCACATCATGCCAAGAAGGAAGAAGGGTTCAGATCTCTGTCCTGTAAATCCCCCAAACCATCATTGCACAGCTCACCCCCTCTTTTCCCTGCCACCAGGATTTTTATTTATAATAAAACCATAATAAAATCACCATAACGGGGAGCCATAGAATTGCAACGGGATAGATGTTATGATTTGATATCTGAGGGAGCTAACCATCTAACTGCTTCTGGTAGGGCTGTGGTGAGATCATCCCAGGTGCCTTGAAATTTCCTGAGGGTGCATTCTTGAACTACCGGTATATGTGTTGTAGCTTCTTCCGCTGCACCACAGTGGCATTGCAGGCTCTTGGCCATTCCCCACTTAAAGAGCTTTGCCTTTTTGGCATGTCCTGTCCTGATTCTCTTCAGGTGGCTCCACGTTTTGGGGGTCGGGGTAACTGCATTCCTGGAAGTGGTTTTGTTAGATTTGTGTGATCTGTTTGGTTGTGGTTATTGAAAGCCACCCATCTTAATCACCCAAAGCTGCTTTTTCAAGTGGCAACTGGACTTCCTGATTTTTCTTTGAAGACATTTCGCTTCTCATCCAAGATGTTTCTTCAGCTCCAAAAACTCTAGTTGCCTCTTGAAAAAGCACCTTTGGGACAACCATGACCTGGATGACTGAGAATCTCCATAGACATTTAGCGATGCACTTTGGGATGAACACCCTTTGAATTGTGCAGGAGTATGGAAGCATCTTAATCACCATTTCTTCATCTAGATTGTAAGACTGTGGTATATTATTTCAAGTTGGTTTCCTAGATTTAAGCCTGGTGAGAGATAGAGAGTCGAATATTTTATGTATTGGAAGAGCTCTAGGAATTGATGACATGTTTATCTTGCCATGGGCTCCTAGATGCCATCAGGATATCACTCCTTATATGCAAGTCCTGTTAAGTAAACCCAGGGGTTCTTTTCTAGAGATGCCAACGATCAGTAAGGCAGTGATATGTCCCAGCATGTCAAATTTAAAGGATGCTCACAAAAAGCCTACAGTGTTTGAACAAAACCCCACAAAATGATTCCTAAATTGAAAAAGGAAGACAAAGTTTCAGAGCTACCCTTTTGCATCAGATTGCTTTATTCTGATCCTCCCTTGATATTAATCTCTACCTTTGTCTCCTGCTCACATCTATTTCATTTCCATCACAGCCTCCCCCCTCCTTTGACCCCTTTTTATCTTCCAGCCAACTGTTTCTTAGGTTTTGCTCCTTGTTCATTCCTATTAATAATCATCTCCATCATGCATACATATTCTTTTTTTCTCTTAATCAGCCTTCTGAAAAAGAACACTGAATGTGACAGTAGAAGACACACAGTTTAACCTCTTCTCAGGGAAGTATTTTTTTCACTTGTCCTTTTGCAACCCATTCCAGCTCTTTGTTAAAATCTTCAATGACAAGAGATTCTCTAATTCCTCCAAGCCTTCTCTTTCTTACCTCCTTCCCCAAGAGAGCTTTTTAAAACCCCTTTCAGCACCATCATTTCTAACTACTACTCCATTATCTTTGGACTTTTCATTGGTTTTCCCAGTTTTATCTCTTGCTTAATCTGGCTCTCCTCTTTTTCTTTTGACTTTTTCCTTCCTTCCCTCATATTTTCAATCCATCCAGTTCATTTCCTAATTAAACATTAGTTACTTTGAGGAGGTATTGTGTAAGGTTTATTTTAAAGTTTCTTGCCACTTTATCCCATCATCCTATTTATGAGAAATCATAATAATGCTAAAGATGATAGCCCACTTTTCTGTACCTTTATGTTCAAATTAGTTGTAGCTTTCACTCCTCTGAGCAAAGTTGGAGACAGATGTGCTTTGCTTTGTCTTGTTAATTCCAGGGCAATTTCTTAGTTAGCCTTTTGCTTTTTTAGTTTAAAGTGTTAACATTTCTTCTGCAATTATCCAAAAATCCAATACTATTGTAGCAGTAATAAGATGAAAACATTTGTCTTTTTAGCTTTTTTATAACTAGCTTAATTGTGCATGAAATCAATTGTTGGACTCCACATCCAATTGCTTTTTTCTTGATCTTCTCTCTTGTGCCTTTTATTCTCCTCCTTCCTTCATAACCAGCTTCACCATTACTTTTCAGTCCCCCAAATTTCATTCTCTACACCCCCCCCAAGTGCACATAAGCACCCACCCACCATAACTGATCAATGGCTCAAGCCATTATGTGATGAATTCTCTTTCCTCCCCCAAAATTACTGCAATCCGCACCCCTAATTTGCATCATCCTGCAAAACCCAATCTAATTTAGTCTGCCTAATGCTAAAAGAAACTATCATAAAAGTGCCATAGCAAGTATCACATAATGGATTCACATAATCTCCAGAGGAGTCGCATTTCTGTAAGGGCTGACCACATCTACATAGGACTCTTTGTTACCTAACACTCTGTGTGTGAGAGAGGGAGGAGGGGAGAGACAAGGAAATATACATGCCTTGATTTCTAGCAACTGCCTGGACAGATCTATGTTGTTGTTGTGTTGACATTTTTGGATGTTCTTGCCTTTTTCCTAGGGCTAAAACTGACTAGAACACCCAGTCGCCAAGTTTCTAGCCTAGTGTCTTTAACCACTGTCCCAAACTGACTCCACTAATTACTTTCTGCTAAATCATGGTCAGAAACAACTATAATTTATTAGATGAATACAGCAGGGATTTTACTTTTGCCTCCAGGCAATGCACAAACAGTGTGTGCACAAGCCTGAGTCTGAGATTTTGAGAATGAGTTTTATGTATTGGTTACACTGCAATCTACACATATTTTCTACCCTCTGGGTTTTAGGGAGCTATCCATGGTACTGGAAACGAATTCGTGGGAACCTGCCACCAAAATAGGTAAAGCCATATAGAATAAACTAAAGGTGTAGAGGTTTCTAGGACATGACTGAAAATGGTGGGAATATCTTTTTTCCTCATCCTCTATACTGAAAGGATTTGTGGGTTAAAAAACAAGATGATGACATGTTTCCATTTTTGGGTCAAAGAAACATGCGCACACATGCAAAAACATATGTGTGTTCTATGTGTCTAACCGGTGTATAAACACAATACACACATACAAACAAACACACTCCATATCAAAATCTTACAAATAATAATCCAGGATATGATACTACACAAAAGGAGAAGATAGTGGCCATGGGAGAAAGAAATCTTATGACAATAAAAGTCAGATTGGTAAGGTTCATCAAGAAGCACTAAAATTGTTACAATCAGCAATTTTAGGGTCTCCCATGACTAAGAGGTGATGTTTTATTTTAAAAACTTATAAAACGGAGACTATTATGATGACATTAGCAGAGCCCTGCTGGGCTATGTCAGAGGCAGTTCAACTAGAGCAACTAGAGTGGAGAGGTACATTACTCTCATATGATTTATGCTATATGAGCATGATGGTAAATATTTATTGATATCTGTATCCACCCTGATTCCACTGTAATCCCATTACAAAGCTTGGGGCCATCAACACACAAATCCAGAAGTTAATTTTTAAACCGACAAAAACTCTAATAATAAAAATGTCATAGGAAATGAATTTTTGGTAGGCAAAAAGAAAATGCTGGCTGATCTCAGGCTTTCAACTAAAAGTGATAGTCCCTGGAATGGAGAGAAAAGAATTACTTCCCTTTCAGTCTATAGCATACCCTGCATACACAATAATAAATGAATGTCTTCCTCTTCCTCCCAAGTCTACGCTTTCTTTCCTTCAGTTTTATTCTGAAATCGAAAGAATTGGATTCAGGATAGAAAACTCATTAAAGCAAAGCCTGGCCTTGAATTATGGACTCCAGGCCCCCCCTACCACCATCATCATCATCATCATGCAATTAGAACTTGATAAAGTAAAATTTAGAGTTTCTACCACAGAAAGGAATCCCAGAGAAAAAAAGAAGTAAACCTAAAATTCTAATAATTGGTCATTGTGGTTCCCTGTCTAATTTAGCTAGTGGCTATGTAATGTACAGAGCACAAGTTTATATAGTTGCATCATGTCATAAAGGGTTACATTTATTTAGATTCTTTTCCATAGAGGTGTATTTTTGTTTAACCAAAGCAGTATAAAACCTTTGTATTTAATAAATCAGCAAATAAATAAAATTTCAACTTACTGGAGAAATATATGGGGCCTTTTCTAAAGGAGCAACATTGGACTTCTGGGGAAGAAATTGTGAACTGAAAATGGCTCATTTAAAAATGGAGCTGAAAACTAATTATTGAAGAGCCAGCAAGCAGACCAAGCTCTTTGAAATTCCTGTTCAAACAAGATTACTTGGATCACTTACAATTGTACAAATAGTTACTCCTCATGAGGACATTGTGGGACAGAAGCTGTAGGTGCTCTTAAGAAGTTGTGAGTTTTTAAGAACACATTGGACAACCATTGTGAAATGGTATAGAGTTTCCTGCTTGAACAGGGGTTGAACTAGAAGACCTCCAAGGTATTTTCCAATGCTGTTCTTCTTTTATTTTGATAGATGTCTCCAATGGGTTTAGAGCTCTTGGAGACAAGAGATACAATCTCCACCCAAATTTTGGTCAGAGCCTTAACAGATCCTGGATTACATATTTCCTTTCTAATCACTTTTGAAAATTGCTTATTCATTGTTTTTCAGATATTGGGAATCTTTGTAACAACAAGTTTTTTTAACACTAGGTGAATTTCTTTCAGTCCTTAGTGAAAGCTTTAAATGCAAGTTTAAGGACTTAAAAAAAAATAAACAGCAAGAGTGTGATTAAAACTTTGATTTTGTAAAGTTAAAAACTGACTTAAGGATCCAGATGGATTTGGAAGAATTTCTTTTGAAATTAAATATAATAATCCTTCCAATGGGAAAATGCTGTTGTTTTGAGTTCTAACACACACACGCACAAATGGGCATTGAAGGTTGGAACTGAAGATTATATTTAAAGTAAAATAACACTTAAATTTGATTTACTAACGCCCAGCAAAGCAAAGTAATTTAACATTGTAGGGTATATGTGAACAATGGGCCAAAAAGTTCATTTTAAGAGCGTTTAAACTAGTTTTGAAAGTGGATTTAAAAATGACAGACTGCAAGAAATATGAAAAGATTCTACACAGGATAAGCAAATGAAACAGACCAATGTCATAGTAATTAAAAGGGAGATATACAAATAACAAACCAAAAGGATAACTTTTCCATATTGGATTTACCAAAAAGACTTGTTAAAAATTTTAAGAATTTTATGAAATGCATAAAGAAAAAAAATAAAATAAATCAAATTTTAGGATATTATTTGAAGTGATTAAATATTATGTTCATTAAAAGCAAAAGGAAGGAATTATAGTTGGTTTTTTTGATCAAGGTACTCTCTGGTACTCTTTAATGGTCTTTTGCTTGACATCAGAACTGAACAAAATGCTTTAAGGATGTGTTTTATAGCTAAGAGATGAGATATTGTAGAAGAGATCATTTGTGGTATTTTAAGAGAAGGTGGTAAGTTGTTAAAATTGTTTATACTGTGATGAAGGGTGGGAATCGTTTCTTTATATATTTCTTTTCTTTTTCTTCACTATATATTCTTTTTTCCCTTTTAATTCTACTTTTTTCTGCACTTCCTGTTTTTTCTGTTGATTCTTTTAGTTTTTCTGTTTGTATCTTTACTTGTAATTATTATACAAAGTAAAAGCCATAGCATCAGCCTGCCTCTCCACACATTATTCACCTGCACTCCTCTACAAACAGTAGTAAATGAGCCATCCATCACTCTCTCTCAATTCAGCATTCTCACAGGGTTGCTGTAATGGAAGTAAAATGGAGAAACCTGTGTACTATAAGTTGCCTTGAATTACAAGAGAAAAGGCAGAATGTTAAACAAATAGGAATTGCCAACATCCCAAGTTGTGATTTTTCTCACAACTAGGGACATGGCATAGTAGAGCCATACACGTCTTATAACCATAGTGATTTTTTCATAAACCATAAATATTACTATGTTTACATTACTATATTACTCTTAAATGTTGCTACTAGAATAAGACATATCCATTAATCAATGGCTATATTTTGGGGACAAGTGTAACACCTGCTCCAGATTTTGCTGATTCTTAACTGGATATATAACTGCCTGTTAAATTTTAAAAAATGTATCTCAGGTGGCATCACGAAATATCTCACCTCCCTTCCAATCCCCCCCCCCCAAATCCTGCTCTCTTCCTTGTTATTGCATGCATGTCATGGATATTAAACCATAGACATTCATTGATCAACCATCCCTAAGTCCTAAAGGCCACATTTTGGTAGAAAGGATTTTCTGCTAAAGGATTCTTCCCTTCCCTGATATGAGTGTGTCTCCATCCCTAACTTAGAGGGAAGACCTGAATGAGCAAAGATCTCTGTGAAAGAGTCTAAATGACCTTTTCCACTGAAGATGAGTTCAACTGTTTTCCACCCAGCCTTGAATCAGCAGAAATTACATCAGTTTCAGGGTTTCTATTGTCCATTTCTGTCCTCCATGAATGTCTCTGACTTCTCTCCAAGGTAAAGTGTGACAAAGCCTTACAGATTTTGCATATCTTGGACAGTGTTTGCAGAGGGGAAAGAGTGCTTCATCATTGATTTGGTTAAGCCTGATTCATCATGGGCTACAGACACGATGAAGGCAGTGACTGCAGAATACTTCAGTGGGATATAAAAGATGTTTACCAAGGTGTGTTTGTGCCTCAGTTAAGTGCAAACAGAGAACACAGAGAAAAGGGTTTCTCTAAATTCACAAATCTAAATGGCAGAAGTGGAAAGAAAGATATGTGTTAATTATAATGTCATTATTAAAAATATATATTCTACGGTATAATGTTGGAAGAAACTTCAAATCTTTCCTAGTCCAAATCCTGATGAAGTAAGAAAGACACTAGTACTACAATGCCCCCACTGCTTAAATCCCCCCCCCCCAATCTTTCTAAAACGAAGTCTTTCTGATCCCATTTTGGAAGGAAGTTCCTGGATAGTAAGTTAGGCACTTGCACTCCTGGAACTGAAATTATCCTGCCAGGCTGCCTCCATTCCATTGGAAGGAGATCCTGATATTTAAAGATAAGAAAGGAAACTTGGCTTTCAAAGATGACATTTAGAACAGGAAGAAGGGACTAAATTATTCACCTGAAGGAAGAACAGCTGCATACACACACACACACCATAAAAATGATTTCCTGAAGATCTAGCTGCATGTGACATTTAACACACAACTACACCCTTGCAAACATTCCCCTTTCTTTTCCCTTGAGAGAAAAAAGACATTATGCGGAGAGGGAAACTTGGCAATTACTAAAAGAGAATTTCAAAGTTTATTTTATTTTATTTTTAACCTGGGAATACCTAGCATGGACTTTCACAAGACTCTCCAAAATTCCTGAGTTCTGGAACTCATCTTTCTTTCTTTGTGGATAATGGTCCTCAGATCCCAATCATTTAGTATATGTCAGTTCATTGGGAGGCAAAGCAGCACAAATTCAGTGAGCTGTTCTCAGCTTTAAGATCTAAGAAAAGATCCTTTGGTCTCAGTGTACCTTTTCAGCTAAAGAGAATTCTCAGTTTAAAATGGGGGCGGAGAGCACACAGTATTTTAAAAACAGCATCTGTGTGGATAAAACTGCAAGACTGTGGGAACACCTGTAAATAAAGTCACCTGTAGTTAAGAAGGATACATGAGGAAAGAAAGTCAGTCTCTCCTTTCAATTGCCTTAATCTTCAAATAGGGAGCAACACTTAAGATCTGGGTTCACCTTCTAGTTCATTGGTGATTTGGGAGCCTCTTGAGTCAAAATCTCCCCATCAACAATGGCCAAATTTTCTACTTTTGGAATCCCATAGAGATCCCATTTAGACCAAGAATTCTCACAGCCTTATTCACAGATGAAGGCTAGCTTTTCAAGTATTGATTTTTTTAAAAATGTTTTGGAATGGAAGATGAGAATCCAAGTTCTACTGAGCTGTGTACCAAAAAGCTCCAAAGTAGATTTCATATCCCCCTCTTCCCCCCCTCCTTCCCCCCCATAAGTGTCCTATCTAAGGTTCAGGTTAGAGCAGGGGTCTCCAACCTTGGCAGCTTTAAGACGTGTGGATTCAATTCCCAGCATTCCTCGCTGGCTGTGGAATTCTGGGAGTTGAAGTCCACACGTCTTAAAGTTGCCAAGGTTGGAGACCCCCGGGCTAGAGGATCCGTCCTCATATGCCTCCCTTTAGCACGTGATAACTCCACCCCGGAGCCACTCCCCAGCCCAACAGGGCTGCCTAGGGTCGCACCCACCTGGCCGTTCTTGCAGAGATCTGCCCACATGCTGGTGCCGTCCCCGCCGCGCATGAGGATGTGGTAGGTGAAGAAGTAGATGCCGCGCACCTGGCAGGTGAACTTCCCCGTGCTGGGCTCGTAGTGGTTCCCCAAGTTGGTCACCACGTCGTCGAATTTGAGCACTTCGTAGCCCTCGTGAGGACTCTTCAGGCCCACGTAGAAGGCGATCCTGGGGCCGCTGAAGACAGCGCTCAGAGCGCCGGTTATCTCTCCTCCCGGCGGCGGGCTGCTACTGCCACTCACGCCCGACCCGCCTACTCCGACTGTAGTCGCTGCTCCGGGCGGTCCGATTCGGGACATCGATAGGCCCGGAAGTCCCGGCTTCCCCGAATCCCCCCTCTCTCCAGGGGGACCCCTCGGGCCTGGAGGGCCCGGTTCCCCGGGAGGTCCCCTTGGCCCCGGCTTGCCCGGGCGTCCAGGATCGCCCTTGGGTCCTTGGAAGAAGGGCGGCAGGGGAGACGGCGGGTGGGCGCTCAGCTCCTGCAGGGCCTCCAGAGCGGCGGTGCTCCCGGGACGGCCGGAGGGTCCGGCGGCGGCCACGCTGCTGGCGCTGTAGGGGTCGCAGATCATGCGGCAGGTGCCCATCATCTCGTAGTGAGCGCGGGTGGCGGAGGGCGCCTGCAGCAGGATGGGGATGGCGATGAGCAGGATGAGGCCCATGGCCAGGGCGAGCCCGAGGGCGGCGACCAGACGCTTCCTCCTCTGCCAGAAGCGGGCCACGAGCGCCAACAGGTCTTCCTTGTCAGGCGAGGGAATGGTGACCTCTTTGGACGGCGATTCTGCCTGCGGGGTGGAGAGAAGCAGAGAAAACAAAGCGGTGACGGCCGGGCGAGAGAAACTCTTACTTTCCGCCCCGGCTGTTTCTCATTCGACGCCCTTTAGAGCGGCAGAAGGAAGGTGGAAAGAGGCGGCGGCGGTGCCGTCCATTCCTCCGGATGAGAGGAGCTCGGGAGGGCTGACATAAAAGCAGCCGAGCCGAAGCCAGCTCCCTCTTTATTCCCACCTCCCACCCCTCCTCTTCTTGCCGCTTTGCCTTCCCGGGCCCAACTCACTCCGGCGCTCCCCGGACCGGTCCCAGATCCAAGCGCGCCGCGCTCCAGCTCCAGCGGACTGGCCAGCTCCCCGGCAGGCAAAGCGGCGCAACGACGCTCCAGCTCGGCCGGTTCTTGAGACTCTCCTCCCTCTCCCTCCTCCGCCGCTTTGCACGGCAGCCGGAACACCACGTCCCGCCCCCCTCCTCTTCCACTCCGCTTCGACAAGGAGCCAACCGAAAAGAGCCCCCTTGCCTCCTCCGCCTCACTTTGCGCTCCTCCGGGTGATCCCCCAGACGTTTCCTCTATCCCCCGGAGAGGCTTCGACCTCTCTTGACCGACGGCGAGACGCTCATCGTCGAATGCATCGTCGCGCAGCTGACGGGCCTTTCCCGTCTCTCTCTCCCTCTCTCTCTCTCTCTCACCCGCTTCGCGACCGCTTGCCAAAGCTGGCCCGGTCATCTTCGCGGGGGCACAACCCCGGGAGTCCCATGGGGCAGGATGGAGGCAGAGACCCAGAGATGCTCCCGTCATCCTTCCTTCGCCAAGAGAAAGGAGCGCCCGGCTGCTGGTGGGAACGGCTCCTTCCCTCCCTCCTTCCTTCCTTCCTTCGCCACTCCGAGAACTTTGAGCTTTTTCTTCTCTTTCTCTGACTTCTCTGCCCCCCTCACTTCCCCCAACTTGCCTCACCTCAACCGGTTCGCTCTCTCCCTGGCGCTCTCCCGCTACCTCTTTTTCCGGCTACCAGATAGACGGGCGGGACTTGCAAGGAGCGCATCGTCCTAAGGTTGCTTTTCTCTGAACGTCTCTCCTGGATCTCGAGGAAGATTTGCTGGGCGTGGGGTGGGGAGGGGGTGGCGGCCGCATGTGCTGGGGCGCTCCGAACCTGCCCTTTGTGCCCGCGCAACGCCTCTTCTTCGCTCTACCGACTTCGACGGAGCTTATTTCCGGCTAACCCGACCTGACTGGCGTATTTTAACCTCGCCTGTTGCGCAAAAACTCAGCCTCTGTGGTCAGTCTGAAGCTAGGAATGTCGCACCAAGCCAAGAAATTGATTAATCCCCCCCCCCAAAAAAAAACCCGTAGAAGCCGAACGAGGAACACCGCGTATATAATCCCACACGGCTTTACCTGTAATGAAGCTTCTCTGAATCCATTGCGGCAGGCGTATGTCAAAAAAATGCGTAAAATCGCACCCCGAATTTTAAAAAAACCAAGCGCCAAAACAATGTCAGGACTTACCAGAACTGCAGTGCCTCTGACACCCGTGTATCACGAGAGTTTAGGGAGCTCCTTAGCCAAATCTTTCTCTCCATACACCACTGGAATAACTAATGGTGGATTCTCCAAATGTTTAGCAGGCCACCCCCTCAGCAATGCAAAAAGGACCAGAGTGGTTTTGTTGTGACATGGCTTGCTCTAGGCAAAAGCCAACTTTGTGCCACAAGTGAAAAGCATGCAGCTCTTTGGGAATCAGATAGATAGATAGATAGATAGATAGATAGATAGATAGATAGATAGATAGATAGATAGATAGATAGATAGATAGATAGATAGATAGATA